AAAAAAAAAAAAAAAGGTTAAATAAAACGAGGCTGGCTTTTGATCTTTCTTATAGCATGTGTCTGTAGGTACACGAGTTGTACCATCATGGAGAAATTTACCTCCATAGAAATATCGGATTGGCAGGGACCAGTGAAGTTTATCTGCTTAATAGAGTAAGTGTTGCCTTCGGGAACCAAAATTGTTGCTGATGCCGAAGAATTACAAGCACTGTCCCAAGCATTCTTGAATGCCTGCACCAATTTTTTTTAAAGCGAAAGTTTTTCCTATCGGAATTATTATTCAGTTTAATTGCATGAAACAATTAATATGGGATGATAACTGATATGAAAATTGTAAAAAATAAAAAATAAAAAATAAAAAAAACAACACTTATCTCCCCTTCCCAAACCAAGAAATTAATGAGCACCAAGATGAAGGACATATGTATATGATCATAAACGTATTGTTTTCTCATAATGTACCTGAAAATTATCTGTGTCATTGACGTTTGCTTTGGCTCCGAAGTCATCGACATTGAAAACCGTTTGTTGTGGATTAGTATTATGTCCACACGATGAGCAGTTTGTTGGGCAAATTGGAGGTAGCTTCTTGCCTTTGGGAGTTAAATTCCTTTGCCTTCCCTTTCTGCCAGAACAAAGGGGAAAGGAACATAATAAAATGGCAAAAACTGTGACAATTAGTCGAGCTCCTAGCCTCATTATTATTATTCTTTTTCTTGCAGGCTCTTGAAAATGGAGGCCAAAAACAATATTCTCTATAGTTGTGTGGATTTGGAGCCAAGTGAAGATAGGTAAGTGTAATAGTTTGGTTGAATTTTGTTGTATTTTTCATTATGATCAATTGAAGTACATGCATATAGTATATTTATAGGAGGCAACAGAATATTATGAATGACTGCCTTCAAGATTAACTATATTAACCATTGATTTTTGGCGGGTAGTTGACCTTTAGGTATATTTCAACTTAAAGGGAAAAAAAAAAAAAAAAAAATTATAGGGGAGGTTTAGTTAATGAGGGTTTGTGCTTGGTCACCAATATACAAGCATGGATGTGTAACTAAATTTCATCATAATATTTAGTGCATGAGAATTGGTGAAGAAAAATTAAGGTCTCCCATTAAAAATTGGTTGTGCACGACCAATTCTTGTGCTATTCTCCCATTAATGCTATTTTTGTCCAGTTGAGAGCTCCTATTTTGTGCATGATCAATTCTTGTATGTATGGAATATTTGTAAATAAATGCTTCAAAAAAAAATTATTATTACCAACATAGCTTGGCTCAAGTGGTAAGCAGCTTAATGTCGCTTAAGCAAGGTCTCGGGTTCGAGTCCTTGTGGATGCAGAAAACCTTTGTTGGGAGACTCACCACTACCATGGGCGGACCTAGGGAGGGGCATGTAGGGGCACATGCCCCTGTAGGAAAAAAGAAAAAAAAATAGTGCCTTCATATATTGTAAAAAAAATTATGTTAAAATATTTATTAAGTAAATTGTTTAGTATTTTTTCCAAAATTTGTATGTAAATAACTCTTAATCAAATAAAAAACAACTCTTCTAATAATGGAAATATCATATTAATTCTTTTACAATTCCATCTTATAGCATATTTTTAATTTCCACTCAAATTGTGTTGTATCTATTAATAAATTAAATTTTAACTTTATGTAATCATCTACTGTATTTGAGAAGTAAAAAAAAAAAAAAAGTTGTGATCTTTAGAGCTTTCACAACTTTGATGTTAAGTCAAACTTAATTAAAATTTCTAAACTCTTGTTATATTGGTTTTTTCATACATATTGTATTTTAGTTGTTCTTAAAAAATATACTTATAAGTTAACTGCTAAATTGTATTTGTCATTGATTGTTCTACTAAAATAATTTTTTATTTTTGTGAAGAAATATTATAAATAGAAGTCCACTAATGCTGACATTGAAAGAAATATCTAGTGCAACAAATTAATGCTGATACTTGAGAAAGACTTAAGTAATGAGATTAGAAATAATTTGTTATATGAGATATTATATACTGGACCGGTTTGCAGGGCTAATCAAAGAAGATCGACCGGTTTGTTGGACTACCTAAGTAAGAATGGATCGAATGTCATGGTTGAGTAGGACCAGACACCGGCCACGTGGAACATTGAGTAGATAGCGACGACTAAGAAGATCAGAAGTGGTCGACAGATACAAGTCATCCGAGGATATGGTCGAAGAAGGACGACCGAGGAGGCATGGACGTACAGAACTGGTAGAGTATCAGAGCACACAAGGGAATCTCCAGCACGTAAGGGAGAGGACACGCGGCGGACTATGAGTGGTCAACAGCCGTAACCAACTCTGACATTCTCTGACAAAGGCGACGCGTTTTCTGACACCGAGGATAGTGGAGGCGCGCGGCTGTACGGACGAGCAGAAGACAACTAGCCGAACTCGCCTTGCTCGCGTGTGTAGCTCAGGTAACTCGCCCTTATAAATAAGGGCGAGAATCCTCATTTTCAGCACAATCTCATATACTCTTATACTCTTTCATACACTCATATTATCTCTCAAGATCTGACTTGAGCGTTGGAGGCTTTTTACCGGAAAACACCTCCGGTGTGGGAGTTTCGTGCAGGTTCCGTGTTCAACCGGCGAGGAGAGCAGGCTTAAGGCGATTTCCAGCCGGTCAGAGTGCGAGACTTGTATTAATTTGATTACGAAGGATACAATATATGAGAACATGTGGAGGATTATTATCATTTTTATTTTTATATTTCACTATGTAAAAATTATGTTTGTGCCCCTTTAGTTTCTCGAGTCTGCGTCCGCCCCTGCCCACCACTGCTAAATGTGCGATCCGAGTCGACCAACAGATTAGTCGGGATATAGTTCCGGATACAGTGGCTGGCTAAAAAAAAAAAATTATTATTGCATAATTTGTTCTAGAAGTAGTAAGGAAGAGTATATGATATCGAATATATAATTCTAAATCAGTGATTATTATTAATATCAAATAGCATTACTACTTAAATGCTTCAAAAACAATTATTATATAATTTGTTTTCTAGCAGTAGTAGGGAAGAGTATATAATTTGTTTTCGAATATATTATTTTACACAAGTGAAATATTATTAATATTAAGTAGCATCTTTCAAACGTCAATGTTGAGAATAACATATGAAGTTAAAAAATAATGTCGTATTTGCTTTCTATTTTTGGGTTTCATATAGGTCGTTGTGAAGCTTAGGTACTTTAAAAATAAAAGCATAAACTTATATTGTGACATTTCATGTCTCTTTACACTATTTCTTAAGGTATGACTTCATTGACTTGTAATAACCAAAATATGTGTGTTAAATAATATATTTGTGTAGTGGTTGGGTTAGCCTAATGATAGGCTACCGTTTGGACTTAAGTATATCCCATTAGGGCTGCATATGAATCGAGCGCTCGCGTCAAAGCTCGGCTCGCGCTCGAGTTTGACTGAACTCGAGCCGAGCTCGAGCCCATAATTTGCATTGTCGAGCAGCTCGAGATATATGTTAAATTAATAAAATACCCCTTATATATATATATATATCTGTGTGTGTGTGTGTGTGTGTGTGTGTGTGTATCATAATATTAATATAAATACGTAATGGTAATTTTATGAAATTTCTTAAAATTTTTCTAACCGAGCTCCAGCCGAGCTCGAACATTTTGAATTTGAGTCGATCTCGAGCCATTGTATTTTTTTATGGAGTCAGCTCGAGCCTCAAAAATCGAGCTCGACGAGCTCGAGCAGCTCAAAAAACAAAAAAAAAAAAAAAATCAATCATGCTCGATAAGGTCAATGTTAGGCTCGACTCGACTCGACTCGACTCGTTTGCAGCCTTAACCACCATGTCATATTTAGAATTAGTATATAATATGCGGTTTCTATGGAAATCATGACAAACTGTATAAATTAAAATCAAAGAACTAATATCTACAAAAAAAATACTATTTAGCATTAATTTTATTTTTATATTTAATATTATATTTTTCACGATGCTTAATGATGCAATGTTTGATTAATATATGTGTGCATATTATTTAAAACTTGTTAAATTTCGTATTTTTCAATTAAAATAAGTTATTAACTAATTTGATTATTTCTTAATTTATAAAAATTATTTTGTAACATTTGAAATTTTATTTTATTCACTCGAGTACAATCTTCCTAACTGACTTTCGTGAAGACGAAGAAAATTATAAACCTACGTGCCAAAAAAGAAACAATTTTTAAATTGTTTATTTAGAGGCCTTGCCGGCACTTAAATTTCTGCCACAAATTATACACTATAATTACTAGCTTGACATTGGGGGAGAATCAGAAAAGGTTGATTCTTTTCTGCATGTGTGTGTGTGTGTGTTTATTTATTTATTTATTTTTTTTTTTTTGTCCAATTTTTGGGGCCCACTTAGAGGTCTTGTTTGGTTTGAGACTTGAGTGAGTTTGGAAAAGTAGCAATACGATAGTCAATATCAGACAATGTTCTCTTACCCACAATGGACATACACTTCTCTCTTCTCACCGCCTTGGGCAG